GTGGAGCTGGAGGAACACAGCAGGCCTGGCAGCATTAGAGGAACTCCTCTGATGTTCCTCTGATGCTGCCTGGCCTGCTGTGTTCCTCCAGCTCCACGCTGTGTTATCTCTAACTCCAGCATCGGCAGTTCTTACTATCTCTTAGTGGTGAGGAAGCTTTTAGAAATTGGATTCCAGGAAAAAATTCACAGTCACGTGGATGATTGTGAATTAACCAAAGAAAGTCAGTAAAGATTTCTAAGGGCAAATTGTGTTTAATTAACTTGATTGAGCTTTTTTTGAAGAGGTAATAAAGAGGGTTGATGAGAACCATGCAGATGATGTGGCGTACGAGAACGTCCAAAAGATATTTGCTAAAGTGTCACAAAACAGGCTCAACAGCAATGTCACAGTGCATGGAATAAAGTGGCAACATTGATATTAAGCATGCTGAGTGACAGACAGCACAGAGTGTGGAAAACTCTGGATTTTCAGACTGAAGGAAAATACATAGTGAAGTTTCCCAAGGATCAGAGCAAAGACCATTCCTTTAGATTGATCAGTCATAATGATCAGATTTGAGCTTGCCAGATGGATTGAGGAAACACAGGCTGTTTTCCTTAGAGAAGAAAAAATTGAAAGAAGATTGGATTTAGGGTGTTCAAAATCATGTGGGGCTTTGATAAAATATATAATGTTATGAGCCCAGCTAGTGGTAATTCCAAACAAGTCAGATCCCAGAGACGAGCCTGGCTTGATAGACCATAAGTTTTATTTTTCTTTTGTTTAGCATGGAGATCAGTCGGTTCACAGATTCACTAGAAGTTGCCACTGTACGTTTAACAAAATAACATAGTTGTTTAATACACAAAAGAAACATACAAACTGTATCACATTATTTCAGAACTATTGGAGCAATCTCATTAAAAATGCAGAAAGATTCATTCCTTCTATTGCAGCAATACCTTTACAGGCTCTCAAACCTCAGTAAGAGTCACCCCTACCTCCACACTAAAGCTTCTTGCTCACATTATACTGTTGAAATCGGTTTCCTTTCAGAAAATTACGTGCCTTCATTTGATGCTGTTTTCTTTAGTTGATTCTCTCTCTCAAACCCTTCAAAGTAGCTACTGATTCAATTCATTATTGTTACTTGACTTGGATTCGTTGAACTCATGTTTTCAACAGCCTGTAAGATATCTTTCTCTCTGACACCTCCATAACCTTTAGCTTCTGGAGCTTTCTTTTCATTGATTCCTAAACAATTCAAGCTATCTCCCCGGTCTTGACTGCTTAGAGACTGCTACTGACAGCAACTCTCTTATGGACTTTCTGTATATGTGTGAACCTGCTTCTAACCACTGTGTTTTTCTCTCTGTGAGTCATAAAGCTGAAGTCAGCAAACATCTCTCAGCAGTTATCTGCCTAAATGGCTTGTTGTTCAAGAAGCTGAAGTCGCATGACTTATTGTGAACTGCTTTGAGGTGGACAGCACAAACGCCAATGGCAACATTAGGAAAACCTCTTTACATTGTGAGTCATTAGAATCTGGAATACCTTGTCGGGGAGTGTGAGAGAAGCAGATTCAATCATGGTTTTCAAAAGGCAATTGGACGATTTTGCAGGGTTATTAGGAAAGGTTGGGAAATTAAAACGTGCTGAATACCTCTTGCAGATAGCTGGTTCAAGCAACAGCCCTCCTTCTGTGCTGTCACCATTTTATGATCCTACAATTCTGAAGTTTATATGGAGAAGGAAACATAATGCCTGGTTCAGTGATGTGCTGACTCCATAGGTTCACCATTTGACTTCATCATTATATTAAGTAGTAATGCATAATTGATATGGAAAACAATTACTTGATGTAAATGGCAGAAGGAAATTTGAGATAGATCTTTCATTGGTGTATTTACGCCATTCCTGATATACTTGATGCTTTAAAAAGCACTTATTGATTCTTGTGCCCAAACACATTTCAGCTCTTGATGATGGCTCCATCACTTCCTACATCAGGATTTCTTGCAATTATGCTGCCACAAAATAGACAGAAATGTGCCACCAAATTTTAAGCTTTGCAGAAAACAGTGTCATTTCTCAAAAGCTTTATTGCAATTTTTAATTGACCTTTATTACTTGTGTGACATGTGTACTTTCAGCTTCTTTGAATGCATTTTCATGGTATCCAAATAAGTCACATAAAATGGAAATCTCTCAAAGTTTGGTTCTTCCTGAGCACCCTATGTTTAGTATAATTGAATGATGGTTAGGTGGTTTGAAACCTTAATTTGCATAGTTATAAGAAGTAACACAGAGTGAGTTCCATTCCCTCTTTGGGCCCTGAATTCTGATTTCTGCTTACTTGTACCAATACTTAAATTTCAGTATATGTTAATGGTAAGGGACATCTGACATAAATTGACAGTCATCAAAAAGGACATGATTCTGGGTGCAACTTTACAACTACTTCCTCATAGCAAAATCAGTTCCACTGTCTGCTACCATATTGTTTACCCAATCAGGTTAACAGTGAGTGTTATTGCTTATTTTCTAAAACACATTCTTTTATCAAGGCATCTTGTGACGTAGTGGTAGTGTCCCTATTTCTGAACCTGGACAGCTGGGTTTATATCCTACCTGCTTTCAGAACTGAGTAATGACATCTCTGGAGTGATTGATTTGAGAATGTCGAGAAACAAGCTATTCGTTGCTTTGCCAGAAGCTGATGAAATTTCATTACTCCAATTGCCACATTTACCAAGTCCAGAACTTGACCTTGGCAGAATCTCAGAGAAGAGTCACTCATTTAAAGAAATACTTGAAGATGATCATGTAAAAACAGCAGAGTCAATGAATTCTAAATGAAGGGTTGCTGTTTTCCACACTGGCACAGGATTCTAGCAAACTCACATCTCAGATCAATGAAGGTTTTTGTGCCAGAAGCCAAAAAACGTACAGGGAGGTTGGGTAGGGTGGGAGAGGATTGTTGGAAAGGTCAGAAAACCCAGAAACATTGGTAACATGTTGGTCCTTCAAATTTAAGGGTAGGACATAACTTTAATTTCTTTTCCTGGCTGGCAACCAATGTGTTTGAAAGATTGGTGGGTGGGAAGGCCTGCAATTGAAGATAGCCAGGGAGTGGAGAGCAGAGAAAGAAAGAAAGAAATGAAAACAAGATCATTGTAAAGGTAGGAGAGAGGGTGAATTGTAGGTAGGATGGAAACTATAAGGTAGACAGTAGGATATTCTGGTAGGAAGGTTGATTATGAAGTTGGAAGCAGGCTATCTACTGGGTGAAGAGGAGCATCAAGGAAACACATTAGTCCTCTTCCTAGCTCACAAACTATGCTAGAAAGTTATTTACCTGTCAGACCTTACATACCTCATATTCCTTCAGATGGCAGATTTCCCATACTTTGGGAAATCTGGCCTTAACCCAGTTAATCTAAATATTGGCCATGTTGCCCTGGCCAATAACTCTAACCTCACCTCACCCTTCGTACTAGTTCTAGTTTCTCACCCCCATAATAACGGGAATTGTGAATATTTGAGGTGGGTTAGAGGGGAAGGAATGGCATTTCAAATTTTAAAAGTCATAAAAATATCCTCTTCAGATCCTGTCATGCTCTCAGTCCGAGGATAAAGCTGTTCCTCTTCATTCTATTGGAATTGCCTAAGAAACACTTTGCAATTTAAACAAAAAATGTTACTGATTTATGATTTTGGGAACTTTCCAGATAACCTGATTTAAATCTAAATGGGTAGCACACCCACCCATAAATCCAAAACCAATTTTACCTGAAGAAATTTGAGAGGCTACTTTAACTTATTGATCTACATTTTGCATATCAGTATCATTTAACATTAATTAAAGACGAGTAACATAAAATATGGATTTTCCAACTTCTATAATGTCGTGCTAGTCTTGGACTGAAAAATAATGATATATTAAGTGCCACCCATTTTCGTTAATGAATAAGAATACAAATTAATACACATGGTTAACAATGTCAGTTTCAATTAAAAAGATAATCCTCATACATTAAATTTTCTCTTATGCAGTTTTGAATCATAATGAACAGCTCAGTAGCTACAGGACTTGCTCACAGAGCTAAACTGCTGAAGATGCCAGGTTTTCTGAGCTAGGAATAAGATGGTGGAACAAAAGCCAAATAGCAGCCACTTAATGGCAATTTAAAATAAAACATAAGAGTAGCAAGTTTGGATGATTTTCACATTCCGTTATTAATTAGAATCATAGAGCCATAGAATCCCTATAGTGTCAAAGCAACCCTCTGAAGACCATCCCACCCAGATCCACCCTCTTCCCTAT